GTGTTTTTACACAATTCTGCTACAGTGTCGATGAGTAATAGTTCAAAGAAATTTTCTGCTTCTTTAGCCATTTTTAAAATTAATAAAAGCTCATACATGTTTAGTGCAGGATTGCAAAGTGACTAAGTTCAGAGATTTAGCTCGAATTTCCTCTTAGTGACTAAGCATTGAACCCGATGCACTTTCAACGCCAAGCTGAGAAGAGGTAGAGGGCATTGTCGCGTGATCTGATTGGTAAAAAGGTAGTTACCTAGATTACCATCATGTGGCAGTATGCATGCGTACGTACCCATATATTTTGAATATATAATTAGAGTGCGTATATATAATATTATTCAGCAGCTCATATGTTCAGCAAATTTGTGCTAATAAATATCTCGAGTCGTTTTACATCTATTTTATGTTCATTAGTTGAGTAAATAAAAAATAAATAAGACGTCTTGTAAGCATAAAAAAAGAAAAGAGTGCAAAATGAAAACTATGTAATGTCCACATTTCAGTCAACGGCCGAACCTTAAAATAATATAATAAATAATTTTAATGCTCTTCATTTACATTTATTCTTAGAACATATGAATTTATTAAATATCTGTTATACAGTTTTCTTTTGTCTATAAAGAAGACAAAAGACTTTTTACAAGCTTCTGAGTATATGTTCTCTTTATACATTTCATTAAAAATATCTCATAATAAAACCTTAAATTTGATTGGAAATTATTTTATTGTCTCACAATCTATACCATTAAGACCAGCGGCAGGCTTTTTTTCTTCAAGAGCTGTATTGAATTCAGCAAAATCAAATGGCGTGTAAAAAAAAATCTGTTATCTACACATGCAGATATATACTCTGAATTATAAGAGGAAAGGTAGGATATTCTATTAAGAGTATTATGGATCCTGACTTTATCATAATTTTTTGTATCATTAGTTGATTGAATATTAGTCCATTCATCTTTGAAAATTTTACATTTATTACAAATATACGTTGGATTTATATGGAAATTTATTAACTTAGCAAACGTTATAATAAATTTTATAATAAATCTTTCTAATAAATTTCAAAATAAATTTTCGAAACTTTCTTTTTTTATATCAAAATGTTTTTACAAATAAACAATTGATTTTATTATAAGCAATACGATCTAAAACTATTTTGCTAAGATGCCATTTTTTATATTCCTTATACTCATCCATTTCTCATTTCTAAACCCACCAAGGTACTGAATTTTTGTGCTTTTGTAGGTCAGCACTTTTTTTAATTGAAGTACTTTCTTTTAAATAGCTTGTAACTATATCAGTGAATAATTCATATTTAATATCCACCGAAAAATTTATAAAATCGTTTATTTATACTACAGGCATTTCAAAACAATATACGAAGGGATTTATATTGTTATTTAGAGAATTTTGTATAACCATTATCTAAAGTTATGTTTGTTTATTTACAAGAAAAAATGATTGTTTGTTTCTTTTTTCCACTCACTTATGCTTTTTTTTTACTGATTTATCATTAAACTTCCACATTGTTAATTTATTTTTAATTCTTGTTAATTTATATTTGAGGTCAGAATTGAGTATAGGATGTATTTTTTTATATATTGTATAAAATTGTCTTTAAATATGTAAAAAATTTTTAAACTCTTTACTTGTTGGATGTAAGTACGAATGTTTCATAAATTCAACAAACTGTAAATTGAGAAATTTCAAATTGGTTGTTATAAAATAATTTTGCTCTTAAACTTAAATCATCTTCAATTATTTTGATTTATTTTAAGTATTTAGGATCGGAAAACCTTGTCTTTTTAGAATCCAGGTAGACTTCGTTCAGTTTTTTTCCATTTATCGGTTATATTGTAGAACTTGCTGTCGAACAGTTAGTGTTCGGGTTAAGCCTTGATCTCTTGAAAGCGGTATATTTGTTTTCCTTATCCCTTGGCCGAAAGTGCCTATTTCCCGGCCTGATTTCGCTCCGGGAAGAGGGACTTTTGCGGCCTGTTTGGGAAAAGCGGCGCTGATTGGCTGTTTGGGAAACGCGGCGCTGATTGGCTAAAATGCTTTTTTCTATCCAAGCGCGGAAAGGTTTCGGAAAGAGTGTCCTTTGCGGCGTTTTTAAAAAATGTAGACCCCTGATAGGCAAAATTAGAGTTTTGACCGAAAGGCTAAGAAAAGAGCGCTTTTTACGGCGTCTGTAAAAATGCGGGGGTTGGCTGAAAGATTTCGCCAACGGATCCGCACCATACAAGCAATTTTTCAAGAAACCACCAGTGAAACTTGTATTTAACAGGCCAGCTACAACATCACCACCGAGTAAGAGGAGAGCACTAGACAATATTGAGAATGTCGTAAGAAAAAACGAATGTGTGAATGGAAAAACGATTCCCGCGCAACATGTTACGTTCGAAAACTGTACTTTCAACAACTGTATTTTTCATTTACTTGATAACAAAATCAATAAAGAAAATTGAATAAAATATACTTACTTGTAGCTTTATTGAATAAAATACTTTTGTTTTTCATACCCGCCCTGACCAGTAAAACCCCGGCTTCGCCACGTTTTTACAAAAGTCAGGCGGGCATGGAGACACCTAACCGTACTGCAGCTAGACCAGCTTAACATGATTTAAGCGGAAAGTAAAAAGCACGCGCAGCTACATGGAAAGAATTTCATGTTGAAATGACTAAAATAGCTTAGTAAAAATTTCAGTGACGCCCAGTAAAATTTTCAATCATAAAGTATGACGACTTGGGGTTTCCCCGGATTTTCCCCAAATGTTTTTTCTGTACGCTATAGAGCAGCGGCATTAGACGCGCGACGCGCATGCGCAGGTGTCATTCCCGCACACTCGGTTAGCCTCTAAAAGTTTAGGTATTTCAACTTTACAGAACGATCACCATAATTTTTACTCTCTCCGTGTACACGACACTTTCGGCCAGGGATAAGGAAAAATAGTATACGACACACGGCCAGATAGTTGGGTGCCCAGGCGTGCGTAATATGACGGGCTCGCCTTCGGCTCGCCCGTCACTTACGCACGCCCCGGAAATCCAACTTTCTGGCCTAGTGTCGTAATGTACTATTTATGCAACATTTTGGGTGTGTGCAGTTGAGGAATCAATGTTACCATTAATTTTACTTGATATTGCATTTTCCGATGCATCACACATTTGTATATCTGTAGGTGTAGTTTCTTTTTGTTCTGTGTCGACTTCATCATTGTGAATTGTTGTATGTTTGGACAATTTTGCAATTTATGGCCTTCTTTACGCGAGTAGTGCGTCATTTGGAAGAGTCCGGCATATATATATAGTATTCAGACTTATCCTATTCATTTTGAAAATAGGGAGAACTATACTGATATCTTCTTAATCAAACTATACTTGTCTTCTTGAATTAAACACATGTTGATACTCTGTTTTCTAAAAATTTATTTCCAAAATTATAACTGGAGACTTCTTGTTGATATGTAATTTTTCAAGGCAAAATTATAAAACGTTGTTAGGAATAACTGGAACAACGTTTAAGAAAATTTGTATAAATGAATACCATAATACGTAAAATCACATACCAAAATGGTATAAATAATTGAGTGAATGCAGTGTATATTCAGGAGAAAATAAAACAGATTCGATTAGAACTAGCTTTACTCTTGAATTGTTATATTTTAATTGTACAGCTATAGATGTATTCCTATTTTAGTTGTTTACCACACATAAATTAAAATTTTACAATATACACTGAATCATATCTAAATTATTGTTTACAATTCAAGTGGCCTGGGTACATGATCCTTCTAAAATATTTAAATAAAACGTAATTAAAACTTTCGTTGCCAGTGAAAATCAAAATTTCATAAGATGGGGTTATAACTGCGTTGTGCGAAGTTTAAAGCACTGTATGCCGCTTTTATGTGCTTCCAGTTTCATTCGACTAATACCATTGTATTTGTATAAACTCTGAAAGATGGAAGTGTGCAGATGCATACAAATTTATAAAAATCAGTATGGAAACGAGGCAACGTTTTTCCAACATCGCAGTTGGCAGTGGGTTGAAATTTTGGAAAGTTTTTGGGGTGTATGGTTCCATCAGAGTCGATTCAAAAAATGTTTTCTCCGTGTCAACTTTCTTTTACAAGGGTTTGGAGTGTTAATACCTATAGTAATATCCATTTCTTGTGAATCAACGATAATTTTGTAATATTACTTTGATAAAAATATCAAGCATTAATGGATATGATATATTATTTAGCTGATTAGGATGAAAAAAGAATGGGGAGTGCATCTCGATATAGTCACGGAAAATATTTCTGCTATTATAATAATTACTGCTTGCTTCGCAAAGCTTACCACATGCTGTTTTTACAATCAAATTGTAAGTGCGTTAAACCAAATATATATAACATTTTTCTTGAGAAGATTTGACAGAGACTTATGTATTACAGAGACAAAGGATATACGACAAAGTGAATAATCACTTCAGAGAAATAAGCAACGCACACGAGGTTCACATATTGGGCAAGTCTGCTAAGTATACAACTAAATTCTGCATTAGGGTCCTTTGTAAGCAATCATCTATCTGTACTTATTTAAATATTTACCGAATTCGTAATACTATATTTTTTAGGCATATATTTAGTTAACGGACTAAATTTCTGCGCCTTACCCATAGGAAAAATGTTTTTCAATTACTTAATAATGAACGGTGAACTTGCCATAGTATATCCACATTACACCGATTATAGCTTCATTGATGAGAACAAGTATTATGTGCCTATAATGATTCATTTCATTTCTAGTTCTATTTATTATTTCATAGGATCTACTATTTATGACTTTGGTTTCATAATTAGCATGAGGCATATATGTGGGATATTCGAAATTGTTAAGTAAGTCTATGCTTTCTGCGCAATCTGCATAAACTGTTGAATTACTAATTCAGTGGATATGTGAAAGTTTGTTAATATAATGAGCTAATTGAATTTATTTGATAATTTTTATATCATATAATTTTGAGGATACGTTTGCAAGAAGCCTCTGCGGTTTTAGAGGAGTACGAGTTGAACTTGCTGGATTATACAATTTCGAATATTAAAGCCTACGAACACGTAGCGAAAGCTATAAAATTACACAACGAAGTACTCGAGTAATTATAATTGCATAGTGACATGTCTGTGGAAATTTTGAATTATTCGATCAATGATGTTTTATAGAATGGTGCCACTGATGGAAAAAACTTATAAGATTTGTTGGTTCACGATACTTTTGGCGAATGCCTTTATCTTCAATGGTGGAATATACTTGGTTGAAAATTTTGAAATATATTATATATCCTGCATAGTTGTACCATTATATCGATAATTTTGTTTTAGGTTATACTAAATTTATCAAACCCATTCGTTTTGATCAGATATGCTACTATTTTTGCTGCGTTATTCATACATTTTTATGTAATATTTGTACATGGCCAGATGATTATCGACTCCAGTTCGTCTGTGTTCGATGCTTGGTAAGTTAGCAATGGAAAGTCCATACTCGATGTCATATAAAAATTACATGTAATTACGTTACTTTAGTTGGAGTTGTAAATGGTATCTCGCTTCTCCGAAGACGAGAAAATTGCTATTCATAATGATGTTACGAAGTTCCAGACCAGAAGTAATAACTGGTGGAGGTCTCTTTACCATATCAATGGAAACTTATGGCAAGGTTTGCATTGTTCATGATTTTCATTCAATTATTGTACAATAATGAATAAATATTACCTTAAATTATAATTTGAAGATGATGAAAGCTGGATTCTCGTATCTCTCTATATTCACAAGCCAGATGAATCTGAATTATTCAGTTGAACGTTAGGTGCATTGTAGCAATTTTGTTGTCTTGATAAGAAAAGCTAGATATTTAAAACTTAATTTTAATGCTCTTCATTTACATTTATTCTTAGAACATGTGAATTTATTAAATATCTTTTATACAGTTTAGCTTCGAGTAGACATTACAAATTAAGAAAATAATGAATTAATAAATCATTTCATAAAATAAAATAGTAAGTTAATTTTATTTTATCCAGTAATAAATTTAAAAACATTTTTGAAATTAATTTTATGCATAGAAAAATAACCTGAAAAGTGTAATGAATGAATCTATAAAAGATGAAAGTTATGTTGCTAAAAGTGAAAATTTTGAAATATAGTTTTTAAACGAGCTGAAACTCAAAACTTATTGTGAATATCAGTATTTTTGTTAATAAAAAAGGTTATTTGATTTATTTAGAAACTGGAGAAAGAAAAGCGAACTTGGTACACTGCCCGTTATCTGCAACTTAGTTACACTAATAAAGATCTACTACGGTATTAGGTTTGAAATAATAATTAAATATACGAATATCAAATTTGATTTTTATTTGTCAATTAATATCGACAGATTAAGAATGTCGAAGCATAGAACTATTTTTTAAATACAGTGTATTTCATAATAGTTTTAATTTGATTGAAGCATGAAATTGAATATTAATACAAAAGAAAGGTAAGCGCACGTAGTGCGCTTGACGACACTTGTGACATAAAAAAATAAAAAATGAACGCGCAAAGCGCGTTAAATACCACTATATATAGTAAACTTCAAAAACTGACTAGTTACCGACATTGCAATTGGTTGATGCATGAAAAAGTGCAAAAGTTCAAATCGTAATGTTTTGACACAATTGCGTTGATTTGAACACGAAGTACGGAGACTTCAGATTAAAGTAATAAATATAATTTCTTTAAAATTACAGGAAGTTTTTCAAAACTGATGAGAATAGAACTCAATGCTATTGATTAAATTAGAAATTAAAAAGTAGGTAGCAGTTTGCATCATTAGAAAATAAAAAATCACTCGTTCAATTTAAATTTAAATATCTAAAATTATCGATAGTATTGTATTCCAGTTTATAAAATTGTTTAATATATTAACATTTACGGAATGCTTCTAATATTATGAGTAGTTTCCATGTTGAACTCAAAATACAACCGAAAGATTAAAAAAAAAAGAATGGAACGCATGATGTGTACCATCGAACAATAAAACTTAAAATGAAAACTATAGAACTCGAGTTTACAAAAAAAGGGCAATTATTTATTCATCATCTCATATGCAAACGTACATATCTGACAGAATCAATGAACGGTCAGTCTGTAGACTAAGATTTTATACATTTTTGCCTATCAAGTGCTTTGAATTTTTATCATCGCTATACTCTTGCTTGTGTGTGACGTGTATACCACGGTAACGTCAACTTTTTGAATTTCGAACCTCGCAGTTATTGATTTTAAACAATAAATTGCAAGGTTCATCGTTAAGAAAACAAATGTATACGCAGAAGAAAAAAATGCTATCTAATAAAATTTTACAAGAGAATAAGCCAATAGATAAAATACGGGAGTATTTAAATATTAAATTAATCGTTTTATAATTCTACTATTAAGATTAGATAGTAATTGAATTGCGTGTGTTTTCTTCTAGTTGTATTAACCAAAGCGCTGCTTCCACAAGTCTGCGAAAGTGGTTCTGGAAGAATAATGCCAATGTAAAATCACCTGCATTTCATAATGCTCGGTCACGAAATGTCGTCAATTAATAAGTAACTTACTTGCGACATTGACAAACACCACTGTTGCATCTGCCGCCAGCCTTCCCCATGCTCAAGCAGTTTGCTGCACATGCTCCGTTATTGACTTTGCCGCCAAAGCCTTTGACACTGATTTCGGGACTAAGCAGATCGCAAGTAATTCTTCGTTGGCGGATACCTTTGTTGTCTCCGTATTCCGTCTCTTCGAAGTCTGCAATCATACCAATCGAAGAATAAAGTTTGAGACTTTGAAAAAGTTGTTTCGGAATGAAAAGATGAAAGTTAATCTCACCGCTGAGAGGAACGGAATAAACAGCGTTCACCAGCAAAAGAATTGAGACAACGGCCGAGTAGAATTTCATGGTTTTGATCCTGAATTATTGATAGTGTAGACTTGTACGTTTGTATCAGACTGGAGTAGAGAATCTCAATGCGTTGAGCTTTATATATATCCATGCAGAACGCGATCACTGCCAGCATTTGCATAGGCAATACTTGTTGCAGTTATACAGGGGATTTACTGGTCCGCCTTTGTGTACGATGCAAGTGATTCCCCACAAGTCGAGCGCCTGTGAATCACTGATCTCCCGACTTTCCTCGTTTATTGCTCTGTTTTTTTATTCTTTTTTTATATTCTTTCTCGCTTGCGCCTGACTTGCGAAACTCTCAACGTGACGATATTGTATGTCATGCAAGTACATTTATCTATCCGTGAATTATCCGCAATCATTTGTCGATTACAAGCTTTCAGAGTAAATACCAATTGCGTTAGAACGACAGTGAATGATGGAGAGTAACTGTATAGAGCTCCGTTCAAGCCCGTATCTCAGTCTATTACAAATTGCTCAAACAATGTAAGTTCGTATTATCTAAATACTGCAGAATTTTATCCGAAACGAGATGGCGAGGGCATACAATCCTTCTCCTTTCCTATTATTGGCTGTATGAAACAGCCCAGAATAACCTAACAGTAGATTGGTACAGTAAATGTACTCATCTGCTAAAGTGCTTTAATGGATGAAAATGACAAAATACAAAAGGCGTGCAGCCAAAAGTAATATAACCATGTCGATATTTTGCCATATATTGTCATGATCGGTACATGCAAAATCACTTTCAATGTTATAAATAATTCAAAAGAAGAAGTAATCATAATTTGATAAAACGGATGTTAAGTATAAGTAATTACTGTAACCCTGTACTATTTTCAAAGTGTCTAATAAACCTAATAAATAGGGGTAAATGCACCAACAAGCTCTTTTTAACATTTTCTCAAATGATCCATGTACAGGGTGGGCCATTTTAATCGATCCACTCAAATATCTTCGCAAAAAATAATCGGTAAAAAAATGGTTCATATAAATGTTATCGCGGACGAAGGGAGCCGTCTAACTGTAAAGCTTTGACCTTGAACTTTACTTTCAAGGTCATTTGGACGTCAGAGTTTTTTTTCAATGAGAACCCCTATTTTTGACACTGGATTTAGAAAAAGCGGGAACAGTACGTGCATTTCTAAACCAAAATTATAATGAGAGGAGGATAGTTCAAGGAGGTCCAGTTAACTGGCCTCCAAACTCTCCTGATATAACATTTCCTGACTTCTACTTGTGGAGCTACATAAAGAATGTTGGTTTTGCATAAAAGCCAAGAACGAGAGAAGACTAGATGGACCGGATTCTTGTGCAACAATTCCACGAGAGATCTTGCTCAGAACAGTACAACATTTTCAAAGGTGCATAAATCTGTGTCTTGAAGCTGATGAAGGACACTTTGAACATCGAATGTAATATGATAAGAGTGAGAGGCTACGGGACTCACGTTGAATTTTTTCTCAGTCGTTATCACATTGAATTATTGGGTTATTGGCTTCTTAGTTATTGGGTTTTGGATTTTTTGGATTCTTATGTTATTGGATTGTTGGATTATTCGGTTCTTAAGTTATTGAGGTTCTTAGTTATTGATTATTGGTTTTCAAACAACCAAGCTAGATGCTTATAGAAGCACGTGTCAATATAAAGTCTGAAGGCTATATACTCGTATACTTGAAGATACAAAACTCAGACTTGATATCAGCATCCGTATATTATCGTTGTTAAAGTTTATACAAGCATTTCCATATATATATACATATTATTTAGCATAACTCGGTAGAATGAAAGTGAAAGTAAGGTAAAAAAAACAAGGGGTATTATAAATAATTGAGAGAATGCGGCGTATACTCAGAAGAAAATAAAAAATATTCGATTAGAACTAGCTTTACTCTTGAATTGTTATATTTTAATTGTACAGCTGTAGACATATTCATATTTTAGTTGTTTACCACACAGAAATTAAGATTTTACAATATACACTTAATCATATTTTAATTATTATCTACAATTCAAGTGGCCTGCGTATATTGTCCTTCTAAAATATTTAAATAGTACGTGATAAAGATTTCTAACGCCCGTGAAAATCAAAATTTCATAAGAGGGGGTTATAACTGAATCGTACAAAACTTGAAGCAGTAAATGACGCTTTTCCTATTTTCATTCGACTAATACCATTGTATTTGTATAAACTCTGAAAGATGGAAGTGTGCAGATGCATACAATTTTATAAAAATCAGTATGGAACAGAGGCAACGTTTTTCCAACATCGTAGTTGGCAGTGGGTCGAAATTTTGGAAAGTTTTTGGGGTGTATGGTTCTATCAGAGTCGATTCCAAAAATGTCTTCTCCGTGTCCACTTTGCTTTACATGGATTGGCGACGATAATACCCGTAGTAATGTGCATTTCTCGTTTGTTAACGATCATTTTATAATATTACTTTCATAAAAATAACGAGCATTAATGGATATAATATATTGTTTAGATAATTCGGCTGAGAAAAGAATGGGGAGTGCATCTCGAAATAGTCACGGAAAATATTATTAATATTATGGTAGTTGCTGCTTGCTATGTAAAGATCATCACCTGTTGCCTTTACAATGAAAATGTAAATACGCTAATCAAAGTTATTTATATATCAAGCAATTCATCCATGTATGTCTTACGTATTGTAGAGACAGAAGATATACGACAAAGTGAACAATAATTTCAGGGAAATTAACGAACCAAAGGAGGCCTACATATTAGGCAAGTCTGCTAAGCACGCACAGTATTTAATAATCAAATGCGCTTGTATGCAAGTATAATTCTTAACTTATTTACATATTTTTATGTTATTGACCAAATTCGTAATACTATATTTTTTTAGGTATATATTTAGCTACCGATTTGACTTTCTGCTTCTTGCCTATAGGAAAAATGTTTTTTAAATATTTTATGATGAACGGTGAACTTGCCAAAGTGTATCCATATTACACCGATTATAGCTTCATTGATGAGAACAAGTATTATGCACTTATAATACTTCACATAATTTTTACATTTACTTATTACGTGATAGGAATTTCTATTTATGACTTTTGTTTCATAATTAGTATGAGACATATATGCGGCATTTTCGAAATTGTTAGGTAAGTCTATGCTCTCTAGGCAATCTACAAGAACTGTTTAATTAATAATTCAGCGGACATGTGAATGTTTGTTAATATAATGAGATAATTGAATTTATTTAATAATTTTTATATCATATAATTTTGAGTATACGTTTGCAAGAAGCCTCTGCGGTTTTAGAGGAGTACGAGTTGAACATGCTGGATTATACAATTTCGAATATTAAAGCCTATGAACACGTAACGAAAGCCATAAAATTACACAACGCAGTACTCGAGTAAATATAATTGCATAGTGACATGTCTGTGGAGATTCTAATGTAATCGATCAATTATGTTTTATAGAATGGTGCCATTGATGGAAAAAACTTATAAGTTCTGTTGGTTCACGGTACTTTTGGAGAATGCCTTTATCTTCAGTGGTGGAATATACATGGTTGAAAATTTTGACATATATTATATATCCTGCATAGTTGTACCATTATATCGATAATTTTGTTTTAGCTTTTGCTAAATATATACAACCCATTCGATTTATTCAGATATGCTATCTTTTTTGTTGCGCTATTTATGCATTTTTCTATAATATTTGTACATGGCCAGATGATTATCGACTCCAGTTCGTCTGTGTTCGATGCTTGGTAAGTTAGCAATGGAAAGTCCATACTCGATGTCATATAGAAATTACATGTAACTACGTTACTTTAGTTGGAGTTGTAAATGGTATCTCGCTTGTCCGAAGACGAGAAAATTGCTATTCATAATGATGTTACGAAGTTCCAGACCAGAAGTAATAACTGGTGGAGGTCTCTTTACCATATCAATGGAAACTTATGGCAAGGTTTGCATTGTTCATTATTTTCATTCAGTTATTGTGCAACGATGAATAAATATTACCTTGAATCATTATTTAAAGATGATGAAAGCTGGATTCTCGTATCTCTCTATATTCACAAGACAGATGAATTTGAATAACTCAGTTGATCGTTAGGTGCATTGTAGCAATTTTGTTGTCTTGATAAGTAAAGTTAGAGATTCACAACTTATAGTTAATATTAGAATCTAAGATATTTATTATAATTTTCACGCTTACTGTTGTGATGTCTACAGATAGAGCTATCTAGGTTACTTTAAATGGATGTTTTAGTATAATTGCAGTCACATAAAATTCACAATGCAAAAATATGCTGTCAAAAGTTAAAACAATGTTGATTCGTAAATGTAACCGTCTAACTTTTATTCCATGTTAGAATATTAGAGCCAGATTTTGAATAGATTAGTTGTCGCTTATATTTGGGTTGTACACGTAGAAGTAAACACTTTCCCAAGTTTTTTATAAAAATATTTATTATGACGAAAGTTATTAAGTTCAAAAAAAAAGTGGTAACATTTTTTCAAAAGCCATAATTCTAAAAGCGATAAGAGAAAAGGAGCTAATATTTTTTACATGCGCATAATACCTAAATAAACATTAATCGTATAATTGCTGCAAACATGATCTATTTTAATGAAATTATTAATTTATATTTTCAACAATCGCAATTATCTGAAAAAATGTTTTTGCATTATAATTCTGACTTCTGGGTTCGGATTGGGTTGGGTTCAGCTAGTCCTGAAGATTTTTCGAATCAAAATTAGTAACAAAATTGAACAGCTCGCCATTGTACAATTAGAGCAGTAAATGATAGAAGACACTATACGCTCGGCTTGAAGTCAAGGAACCGCATATCACTAATAGTCTACGCATCTAAGTCAACGGCGAATTGAAGAAATACATACGTACTCTTTTGAATACTTTACTTTCTTGAAGTTATTGAAACTGACAAATACATGCTTCTCTAAATGCCTTGTAGTTTAGTATTGGCCTTACATATTTAGTTATAATACATAGGTATAAACTTTAAAAGTAGTAATATTTTCCGTATTAGCACTGTGCATTCTTTTTATCAT